GGTTTATAACTATGCTATAAGAGGATAGTGTAAGATAAGTCACAATTTTTAAATTTTTTTAGATTATTTATCTAAAAACTCATATGTAATTAATATTTTTAAAATTTTGATGGTTGGATTGAAAATTCTATTTATGTAGACTAAGTATATCACTTTTCATGTTGATTTAATATTTATATAATCTTTTGATCAAATAAATTTTATTTATTGACATATATTTAACAATATTAAATTTTATATAATCAACAAAGGGATTAAATTTATTAAAATAATTTAAAATTTAATATGTATAATTTATATGAATAAAATTTTTAATTTAATAGTTAATTTTTAAAAATATTAATAAAAAATTTTCATAATATATCATAAAAAAATTTAAAAAAAGCACTATAAAACACTTTTCTTCCCATAATTTATATTGTTGTTCCAAAAAAATAAAAAATTTGAGTCATCTCTTCTTTCTATCTCTCATCACCCCCTTTTTTTCCTTTCTCTCTCTTATTTACCTTCTCCCAAGGCACAAATTCCAGTAGAGGCTCAATCCTTTTCATACTCCTATTTTTGGTCTTCCGACGCACTTTAACGTAAAAAAAGCTGGGGAGTCTCTTTTGTCTTTTAATAATTTATTAAGGTTGAATGACTCATGCTTCACTTTGTATCTCTCCAACTCTACTATCAAAGTTGAACTTTACCGTACGATTCATTGCGTTGCGCTATTCGATGGAGAGGGATGACACTTATCTTTGTTTAGGGATTGAATTTTTAGTTTTTAATAAATAATTAACATAATTTATTAACCATTATTCTTGTATAAAAAAAAAAACTCTACTATCAAAGTTTTGTTTTTATTCCCTCGTCTATGTCTCGCAAACCACTTTTTATTAAAACTAATTTTTTTTTATTTAAATACAAGATTATTTTGTATGATAATTTTTTAAAATTTTTTTTACAACAAAAATAACATGTTAATGCAAATAAGTTTTTTTTTAATTCAATAAATTATAAATTTATTTTTAAAAAAATTAATTAAGACTTCAATGTTACATTTTGAGTGATTTGTTATGTTATTTACCAATAAATAATAATTTTTTATGATTTAACTCGACAAATTTATGTAATACCTAAAACAATATCTTATAATATGTTTGAGTTGAAGTGAATAAAAAAGAGAGGAGGGAAAATTTTTTCTTTATTTACTTATCAAAATAATTGGAAAGGGGCGGAGGGGAGGGGAGGGGAGGGGAGTCATTTATTTATTTATTTGGTAATTAATTTATTTATCCAAATAAGAGGATAAAAGGAGAGGAAATGGAAAGATAAAATTCTTGTCCTCTCCCTTCTTTTCTTCTCTCTTTCATTTATCTTAATTTAAACATACTGTTAAGAATAATGAAGAGGGTACATAGTCTATGGTTTACAAATTATTTGATAATATTATCATTATTTAATATAACTTAATAAAGACAAAATATTATTTTGATATTTTATTATTAAAATGTATTTTACAATTCAAATTATATCGAAATATAAAATAGGTTAAATACCTTTTTTGGTCCCTCTACTATAGGAAAAAGCCCCTTTTTGGTCCCTGTACCGAAAAAATCCCTTTTTTGGTCCTTACTGTTCACAAACCCGGCCCCTTTTTAGTCCCTCCGTTAAAATTTTGCTGACTTGTCACGTTAATTAACGGAATTATTTCATTATTTTTTATATAAACAATATTATAAATGACATGGAAATTACATGTACAATTATAAA